AAGGGCCAAATTTGATTTGTATCCATGGCAATAAAAATATGATATTTAAATTCTGTTCCAAGGCATCAAAGTGAAGGCAATTTTGTAGCATTTGTATTTTACATTTATTTAAAAGGTATTTAAATTTTTCAAAAGGTAAATGAAGTTATTTATCGACTCCACTTTAAAAGTATTACTCGAGATCTGAAAAATTAAATTGAAAAACTGCAAAAAGTCTCTTTTTCGGAAATGGGAAACTGACTTTTAAATCAATCGACTGGTTCAATGGCTTTCGAGGTTAATTGAGATTCCATGGGCACTTTACATATCCAATCATTTATGTGGATATTTCGTAGCGGTTGGGCAACGAAATGCCTTTGACGCTTAATTAAATGCAATTGACGGAATTGACGGAATTCCAAAGGAGCATATCCTTAAAGCATTTTATTCAACTTACCAGATGCCATAGTCCAGATGCCAGGACCCCCTGGGGGGTGCCGGATGACACAATTTAAATCAAGTTGACCGCAAGATTTCACAGTGAATTATACCGTGGGCGGTAAGTGTCAGAATCTGGGGGAGTCCCGAGAAACATTTCCGAGAATTTGCCACGCCCAATTTACTCAGGGCCAACTGGTGGGCCGTTAACATGCTTTTAGCCTTAAATTAGTGCACCCCGAAGTACACCTTGGCCGAAGTAATAGGGATTTAGAGCGGACAATAAAGCGACTGACATCAAAAGAGATTGCTCCCCAGATACATTTGAAGGCCAGAGCCAGCATCTTTTGTATTGTCCGGATTTAAGTAGTTGTGTTTATTGTATTTATTCGCATCTTGGCTGTCCATCAAATTGAGCCATAAAAGATCTGGCAACATGTGATGGGATGAGGCTAATTAAGGGTGCCGGCCTAATGAAAAATCCAGCCAATCCAGGCAGTCGAAAAACTTTCCCTTTGCATGCGTAAAGTCAAGTTTTTAATTAAATAAAGTCGCTACCATTTTCATTCCACTATATATATAGTATAGTAAAGTATATATATTCCTTTACCTTTTTGGCCAAGGAAGTTTTTCGGTCAGAAATGCGTTTGTGCAACTAGAAACTTCCTGTGCAACTTGGGCCCCGAGAACTTCAAGTTCGGCATGTTGCAGCTGCAAGCCCTGTTGCAACGAAATGAATTGGAATGTCGCTTGCTAAAAACTGAAAAATGGAACTGGATTAACTTTTTGATGTACTTCATCAAAATGCAAACATTTTTGGTTTAAGCCGTGGGGGCTGGCACTAGGGAGGGAGCGACTGGCAAACTAATAACAAAATATAAACAATTTGCGGTGGAATACAGGTTTATTCTTTTATTTTTTTGGTGGTAGAGAGCTTTCCCAGGTACACAGTTGGGCTTGAAAAGATAGGTAAACAAAATCACGTTGGGTAAATATTATTTCGTTTGCTCGACTCATGAGTCCTGCCAGCCCCCTGCCAGTCGGCTCTCTGAATCCGGCGCTCCTTTGTCGCCCAGGGGGGATTTAGTGAACTTTTTGCCAAGGGAGACTTGTTATACCCTTGCGGAGGGTATTCTAATTTTGGTCAGAAGTGTGAAACGTAGCTATCTCCGACCCTATAAAGTATATATATTCTTGATCAGGACTCCTCCTGAGTTGTATAAGCATATCCGTCTGTCTGTCCGAGAATCGGATGAGAATTGGGAAAGATATAGCCATCCCTGTGGCCCCTATAGGGGAAAACCACATTTTCAAGGGATCCCATCAGGAAAAATGGACAAAAAATCTAAAAATATTTTGTCTCAGGATTTTGATGCAGAATGGTATAGAATCGATCCACAAAACGTGTAAGGTACTCCGCTTGAGAATCGGATTAGAATTGGGAAAGATATAGCCATCACCGTGGGCCATATAGGGGAAAACCGCATTTTCAAGGGATCCCATCACGAAAAATGGACAAAAAATTAAAAAAATATTTTGTCTCAGGATTTTGATGCAGAATTGTGGCGAATCGATCCAGAAATCGTTTAAGGTACTCCGCTTGAGAATCGGATGAGAATTGGGAAAGATATAGCCATCCGTGTGGCCCCTATAGGGGAAAACCGCATTTTCAAGGGACCCATCATGAAAAATGGACAAAAAATCTAAAAAATATTTTGTCTCAGGATTTTGATGCAGAACGGTGGAGAATCAATCCAGAAATCGTTTAAAGTACTCCGCTTGAGAATCGGATGAGAATTGGGAAAGATATAGCCATCCGTGTGGCCCCTATAGGGGAAAACCGCATTTTCAAGGGATCCCATCAGGAAAAATGGACAAAAAATCTAAAAATATTTTGTCTCAGGATTTTGATGCAGAATGGTATAGAATCGATCCACAAAACGTGTAAGGTACTCCGCTTGAGAATCGGATTAGAATTGGGAAAGATATAGCCATCACCGTGGGCCATATAGGGGAAAACCGCATTTTCAAGGGATCCCATCACGAAAAATGGACAAAAAATTAAAAAAATATTTTGTCTCAGGATTTTGATGCAGAATTGTGGCGAATCGATCCAGAAATCGTTTAAGGTACTCCGCTTGAGAATCGGATGAGAATTGGGAAAGATATAGCCATCCGTGTGGCCCCTATAGGGGAAAACCGCATTTTCAAGGGACCCATCACGAAAAATGGACAAAAAATTAAAAAAATATTTTGTCTCAGGATTTTGATGCAGAATGGTGGAGAATCAATCCAGAAATCGTTTAAGGTACTCTGCTTGAGAATCGGATGAGAATTGGGAAAGATATAGCCATCCCTGTGGCCCCTATAGGGGAAAACCCCATTTTCAAGGGACCCATCATGAAAAATGGACAAAAAATTTAAAAAATATTTTGTCTCAGGATTTTGATGCAGAACGGTGGAGAATCAATCCAGAAATCGTTTAAGGTACTCCGCTTGAGAATCGGATGAGAATTGGGAAAGATATAGCCATCCCTGTGGCCCCTATAGGGGAAAATCCCATTTTTAAGGGACCCATCATGAAAAATGGACAAAAAATCTAAAAAATATTTTGTCTCAGGGTTTTGATGCAGAATGGTGGCGAATCGATCCAGAAATCGTTTAAGGTACTCCGCTTGAGAATCGGATGAGAATTGGGAAAGATATAGCCATCCCTGTGGCCCCTATAGGGGAAAACCCCATTTTCAAGGGACCCATCATGAAAAATGGACAAAAATCTAAAAAATATTTTGTCTCAGGATTTTGATGCAGAATGGTGGCGAATCGATCCAGAAATCGTTTAAGGTACTCCGCTTGAGAATCGGATGAGAATTGTGAAAGATATAGCCATCACCGTGGGCCATATAGGGGAAAACCGCAATTTCAAGGGATCCCATCACGAAAAATGGACAAAAAATTAAAAAAATATTTTGTCTCAGGATTTTGATGCAGAATGGTGGCGAATCGATCCAGAAATCGTTTAAGGTACTCCGCTTGAGAATCGGATGAGAATTGGAGAAGATATAGCCATCACCGTTTGCCATATAGGGGAAAACCGCAATTTCAAGGGATCCCATCACGAAAAATGGACAAAAAATTAAAAAAATATTTTGTCTCAGGATTTTGATGCAGAATGGTGGCGAATCGATCCAGAAATCGTTTAAGGTACTCCGCTTGAGAATCGGATGAGAATTGGGAAAGATATAGCCATCCCTGTGGCCCCTATAGGGGAAAACCCCATTTTCAAGGGACCCATCATGAAAAATGGACAAAAAATCTAAAAAATATTTTGTCTCAGGATTTTGATGCAGAATGGTGGTGAATCGATCCAGAAATCGTTTAAGGTACTCCGCTTGAGAATCGGATGAGAATTGGAGAAGATATAGCCATCACCGTTTGCCATATAGGGGAAAACCGCAATTGCAAGGGATCCCATCACGAAAAATGGACAAAAAATTAAAAAAATATTTTGTCTCAGGATTTTGATGCAGAATGGTGGCGAATCGATCCACAAATCGTTTAAGGTACTCCGCTTGAGAATCGGATGAGAATTGGAGAAGATATAGCCATCACCGTTTGCCATATAGGGGAAAACCGCAATTTCAAGGGATCCCATCACGAAAAATGGACAAAAAATCTAAAAAATATTTTGTCTCAGGATTTTGATGCAGAATGGTGGCGAATCGATCCAGAAATCGTTTAAGGTACTCCGCTTGAGAATCGGATGAGAATTGGGAAAGATATAGCCATCCCTGTGGCCCCTATAGGGGAAAACCCCATTTTCAAGGGACCCATCATGAAAAATGGACAAAAAATCTAAAAAATATTTTGTCTCAGGATTTTGATGCAGAATGGTGGTGAATCGATCCAGAAATCGTTTAAGGTACTCCGCTTGAGAATCGGATGAGAATTGGAGAAGATATAGCCATCACCGTTTGCCATATAGGGGAAAACCGCAATTGCAAGGGATCCCATCACGAAAAATGGACAAAAAATTAAAAAAATATTTTGTCTCAGGATTTTGATGCAGAATGGTGGCGAATCGATCCACAAATCGTTTAAGGTACTCCGCTTGAGAATCGGATGAGAATTGGGAAAGATATAGCCATCCCTGTGGCCCCTATAGGGGAAAACCCCATTTTCAAGGGACCCATCATGAAAAATGGACAAAAAATCTAAAAAATATTTTGTCTCAGGATTTTGATGCAGAATGGTGGTGAATCGATCCAGAAATCGTTTAAGGTACTCCGCTTGAGAATCGGATGAGAATTGGAGAAGATATAGCCGGTGTTTTAAGCGATTAAGCAAAAATAAACTCATTTCTGGGAAATTTCTTGGAGCAATACACGAATTTAAACTTTGAACTGCGATTATCAAAAATATTTCACAGAAGTTTCGCTGATAAGACATCATGGGGAAAACCTAATATTCTATAAATGATTCTCAGAAATATTGATCTTGACTTAAAGCTCTTCAAGAGAACCTATTACCTATAAAAGTCGAGCTTTGATTAAGTATACTTTAGTCTTCAGTCTATACTTGTGGCGAGAGCTAAGATGAAGGAAAACATTTTAAAAGTTTTGGGCGTGTTCCTTGTGTTGTCAGCATCAGTGAGTTGAAATAAGTTCTAAATTTTGTATACCCTTGCAGATAAATTTTGGTAAAAACTAAATTTTAATACTACAAAGTATATAAATACATATATTCTCTATGTCCGTTTGTCTGTTTTTATGTGATCTGATCACTTCCTTCTTTTCCTTCGCATGAATTTTATATTTTGGTCTAGGACTTGCTAATTCAGAAAATTTAATAAGGTTTTGACGACTATATAAAAATAAGTTTAAAAACTACTTTAACATAAATTGCCACTGAACTGCAAGGGTATATCAATCCAGAAGTTAGCTAAGTATTAAAAACTTTATTTTTTTTCTAGACATATGTGAAGGGTCACCAAGTTGAGGTCAAATTTGGACATACAGCTACATTTCAGTGTCAAAATACGAATCATCATATCGTGGTTGATAGTGTTTATCTTAATGGGAACAAAGACGATAATGGCCGATATCATGTAAAGATGGCGTGTGATACGGAACCAAGTTGCGAGTTTCAATTTAGCCAAGACATATTTATGGGTGTGGCACTGCCAGCTGAATCTTACCTTGTTATTATATACTCGTGTAAGCAATTTGTCCGCCAGGCTAGTTCTAAAAGGATACAGTCTACAACAAGAATTACTTGCCCGCAAGAAACTTTTGTCCAGAAGCACATTGGTTATTTCAAGGATAGTAACATCGCTCCTGAGAAGGACTCCGCAGAGGTACGAAGGAAATGGGAAATAATTGCGATGGCCGTCGCTTCTCAAGCCCAACGTTTTCGGCTAACCAACCGAGCAGATCGACTAAGAGATCCAACTGTTTACACAGTGTTTTTGATACATAATAGTGAAACAGGTGATTTCCAGCTGAGAAGACCCAACTGTGAACTTACGAATAGGGCTGTCAGGCGATCCATCAAGTATCAATGCAACAGATTCACCAATCCCAAAAAATGGACATGCAATTTTGTGAGCAAACAGGTTGACAAAGCTGCACATGACTCCATAACTGGCCATTACTATACGTAATCGTTTAATCTCCTACTGGATTCCTTCTCTAGAAAGACGCGATAAATAATCGATAGCTATGCTTTGATCCTTTTAAAATTTAAATACACCTTCTTGAAAATTGTAATCTTATTTAATATGTAATAAAAAGTTTTAGTATCACAGAGTATATCGGCATTTAGTAAATTCTATAAAATGTTATTCTTTATCAAGAGTATATCAACTTCGGCTCTGCCCCAAGTTAACTTTCCTTTCTTGTTTTTCTTTCGCTTTTATTAGAAAACAAATTTAAATTTTAATATTTCCAGGCTCCCCAGTGACTGTTGTCTGTCTGTCTCTCCGATTGTCTGAAACAAATAATAATAATGAAAATGAAAATGAAAAACCTGTGCCACTGACACTGAAAATTGCAAAATGGTTTCAACTTTTGTAGCTCTTGTTATTGTTAACTTGAAAATTTGCCAACAAAATTGGCCAAATTATTGTAAATTCAGCAATCGGATTTCGTGTGCATAAGCCAGAAATCATAGACGAGCATTTTTATGTCAATAAGTTGGCCGAGCACGTTCAGCCAACACCCTGGCCCAGATCCCTGTCTCCTCCCCCACTACCTTAACCCCTTCAATTGACAATGCGTAGAGCGTACAATATTTTGTCGTATTGTCGATTTTTCCAACTTCGTGCTCACACACAGAATATACCAACCACCAACCGGAGTCATTGTGTGCGAAATTCTATCCTTATTTATGCAAGTGTGTGTGCAAGGACACTGCCATACTGTCCGGCCATGAGTTATATTTTGGTATGCCAGCCTGTGAAAATCCTGTCAAGCAGCTGTCAGAACGGCTTGGCGCTTAGCTTCTCTCTCTCTATTTTACAATGCAACCCCTTTTTGGTACTGAATCTTTAGGTTTTTGGTTCTTGGTCCTTGGTCCTTGCTCCTTGGTCCTGGGGCTGCATTCAATTGTCACTCGGATTTCCAGACACTCACGTGTATGTGCTACGTTCGTTCTATCTTCAGACACAAATATCCTCAAAAATAGCAAAAGGTGGAGAGTCCTGCAGCAAGCCGACAAAAAACTGTTGCTAATGCCAGGACTGATGACAGATTTGCCAGGTTTTAAATGCAAATTTGTGCCCAATGCTGTCGGTTCTTAAATTGAAATTGCATATTTTTTTTTTTGCAGTATTCTGGTACATTTTTAAAGGGAAGGCATTTGTTACTTTGTGGGGAAATTCATTGGTTTGGAAGTTGGTTTCTGATAAAATTAAGAGTTGATGAAATACCCAAGTGGAAATTTGAGTTTCTATCCATTATTGTAAGACTTTTTTGCGTAGCTTCAACAAATACAAATGTAACATCAGCAATAAATATAAATAAATAAAATATATGAAATAAATACATTAACAGACATCTTAGTAGACCTTTTAAGAACCCCTTTCCAACGACAACCCGTTAATATTCTTGCTGAACTAGCCCTATTGTTACCCAAACTGCCCCAGGTTCAGGGGCGTGCCAGTTGAGTGTCTCTGTGCCTGCTTAGTCTTCCAAACCTAAGCCAAATAGAGTCTCCTTAAGGACCACGAGTCCTGCCGCACAAAGCAATATCAACCCTTGCCCTTTGGGTTAGCAAATCATTTCTATCCGTTCCGGGTTTTGGGTCCAGGGGCATCTCTCAATACACTAAGCGCATTACACATACGCACCGTTGACTGGGGATTTCCAGTTGGAGCCCTGGAGAAATGTTATTCGATACCCTTGGCCGGGAGACATGTATTCCTATAGAATTTCGGTTTCTGTTTCTGTTCCGCTTTTGGCTGCCCGCCGGATTGCTGCCTCAATGTCACGACATTCACTTAAACGGGTTTTCCATCCAAAAGCACACTCATACAGAACTAATTCCATGTAAAATGCTTTGAAGCTGTAAATTTTCTTTGCATTCTGCAGTCGAAAGTGGAAAAGCGAAGGAAACTGTGGGCGGTCGAGGAGTGGCAAGACGGGGCAGGGTAGGACATCTCGCCTTACTAAGCTGTGGAAAATCCTTGGCGCTTTATTTTCATTTTGATTGCCGTTCAAAATGCCGAATGCCGTTTGCCGTTCGCCGAATGAAGTGCCAAACTGTGAAGCTCAACTCAAAACGTTGCTACAATTAAGACCCAGACCGAGAATGAAAAGAGAGAGTACTGTAAAACAGAAAGAGATGGAAGTGGAAGGGGCAAAAAAAAAAGGATACTCGTCTTTGGTCTTGTAAGCCAGCTTTGAGCCCCATTTGAAGTCTGCGGGCCACTTTCCCGGGCCCCAGTTCTTGGCCCCCGTCTTGAGTAATTTAAAACTCGATGGCAGTTGACTGTTAATTTTAGTTCTCCTTGAAGTTTTCTCTTAAATATTTTATACGCTCGGTCGACCAAACGGCGGTTGTCTGAAAACTACTACGGGATCTGCGTCCTAGTTGGGGCATTCCTGCTCCTGGCCTGGCTTCCTTCATAAATCAGACGCTGCCAGCTGGCTGTCTACTGGCTTGTAGTTCACGGCAAGCAACAAATTGTCGGTCTCTGCGGCCAGTTGATAAATATGCCCGACCCACTGCTCTGATATCCTTTCGCTCCTGACCGTGGATCTGTGGGATATGGGCTGCCTTAATTACGGCCAACTTCCTTCCTGATATGGCGCATCAATTTGGTGTCGGGACTCGCTCGGTTTGTCGCATGTCTTTGCTTCGAGGGACAGTCTGAGCTTCCTTTTTTCCCGAGATAACAAAATAATATATTATATCCCTCCCCCACATAAATATAATCTTTCAGAAAATGTTTAATTTTTATTTGCATGATTTTCTCACCTCACTAGCATCCGTCCTGCAATTTTGTAACAAAAATTCGGTTAGTTTTAAAAACGTGTCCTGGCCGAAAAGGACCTCCCTCTGACACAAACTTTGAATTAGTGTGAAAATCGCAACGGGATGCAGGTTGTGGTTAAGTGGTCTTCCAGGACTTGGGCGGTATTAAAAATTATGCAGTTCAAAAGGGAAGAAAAATGCAATTTAAAATCATTTTGAGGCGCTTGCTGGATGGGAGGATGGTAGGGATAAGCAGGACTTGCTGGCTGGAGTTGCGCCCTCGATTCGAGTGCTAATTGCCGGAAATAAAAATGAAAATCGCATCCTGTGCTTCAGCTGGCGGAAACGACCACAGCCGCCATTGCCGTCGTCGTCGTCACAGTCGCAGTCGCCATCATCATCATCGTTCTCGTCCCTTTTATATATTTTTTCTGTTCCTGGGGAATGAATTTTCAATGCGTCGCGAATTTATTTTCATTTTTTCCCTGTTTTTTGTTCTTCAACTGGGTGCCTGGTTTCCTCCATTTTTTTTTTCTCCATTTATTGTGCAGTTTTCTGGTACGTTTGCCACCCGTATTTGCTCTGCATAATAACAATAAAAATAATAATCAGGGCGACGAGAAAAGGGTCGAGTGGATGGGCTTGTATTTATGACCGCTGTCTGGAAGCAATCATTGCTGTCGCCTAATTTATTTCGTTTGTTCTGACTTGCCATAACCCCTCTCTAGATAGACTCCCATTTTGCAGTGAAAAATTGAAAGCTGCCACTACTGCCACCCCCTTCATTTTGGTTATTCATAACACACAAATTTCCAACAACATTATTTGCGCACGCATAAATGAATACCGAATAATAGATGTTTTCTCACATCTAGCATAACACTTTAGATATCCTGGAAAAAGTCCTGAAAAATGTAACATTGTAAATACTTATGGCAATGATCATTGTTGCAATATTAGGTTAGGCACGATATAACTATAAGAGCTCGAGATAGTGGCACCGAGATCTTCCCATTGCCATCGACCATTAAAAAGCCTACACATAATTCTTACCTACATCATATATAATAGAATACTAGTATTTTTACGATTACCCCCCAACACAATACCCCCATTGATACCCTATATTTCCTTCGCAATGCGTATACGACGCGTTGGCAAGCCTTTGGCAATCGACTCCGTTGCCGTGATTGCGTAGCACTCGGGCGCAAATTGGCTAAAAGGAGTGAGAAGTCGCGTCTGGTATTTGGTCTTTGTTTACTCATTGCCTAATTGCATGAATATTTTTGGCTCATGCACAATTTGTTTATTATTGTTATGGCCGTCTGCTGCTGTTGATTTTTGTCCCAAAACACTATTCGAAAGGTCAAAATGCCAATAGACTGGGCGACATACAAATTGAAAGCGCAATTAAATGAAATATTTACACATCATTTGGTATCCTGTTTTGATGTTAATTAAATACACAAGCCTACGTCCTTATTGAATGTATTATTTGACTTTCGATTTGCTGGAATAAGAAGTCCATCTGGTATAATAATAGTGGTCAGTATTGTAACTGAAAGCTAAGGGGGGCCAAAGGAAAAAATAAAAAGATGTTGGTCCTGCTGACTGCCTTTCAGCTCAAGTCGAGCGAACATCTGAGTTGCTGGCAGGCACTGCCTTTGCCAGTTACCAGTTTGCAGTTTCCAACTGCTTTCGACAGCTGTGTCTCGTCCTTGCATCCTTTCATTTTCTTTTTTTTTTTTTACTTGTTTGTTCCTTGTGTGGTACCAGTTTATCCTCCCCGTGGAGAGAAACATAACATAAAATGCATTTTCCGCATTAAAAAACTGAACCAGAAGACCCGTCTGACTTACACATGGCCCGTCTGGTTGGCCTGGGGCAACAAATTGCTTCTGATTTCTTATTTGGTCCGCCCTTTATATTCCCATTTTGCCCATGTGTGCGGCATTTTATTTAAATTAATGCCATTAAAGTGTTAAATGCTCTTCAAAAGGTTCCAAAGTGTATTGATAATAATCCTGCTCAAGCATAAAATAGGGATTAGTGTTAGGAGGGCTTAGAAGGGATAACATTTTATCTAGCCAGGTTTTGATTCAAATGACGATGCTACTTGAAGAGCCAAGATCGGGAAGGTATATAATTTGGCGATCAGATTAGTATTAGCTGAGTTACTCTTGCCCTTAAATTTATATTAGAAAAAGGTCCTCTTCTCTGTTAATTTCGGCAAAGTAGATATAGCTTTTGAAATACCT